ACTTTAAATACAAAATAAAAACATCGAAATGCCCAAATTGTTATTGGAACATTTATTAGACAATTATTTGTTGAAATAAACTTTGTGCACAAAATAGTAAAATTATATTATTTAAAATAACTGGGCATCCATGACACATGGTACATAGGACATGGCTTCAGGGATACCATTAACCCAGTAAATGTGGCACTGCTTTCTGCACATCATCGCAGCGCTCTTTGAGGTCCTCGGCATCCAGTTCCAGGCAAGCGCCCCACTCGACCAGAGTAATGCGATGGTCCTTGTTGGAGTCGCAGGACTCCAGGAATGGTGCGATGCAATGCTCCAGCTTGACCAACGGGGCGCGTATGGGGAACAGCTCGTGGCGGGAAACAGAGCGATCGGTGTCGCCATCCAGATCGCACCACTTCCACACGGCTGCGTTGGCCCAACGACGCGAGTTGTTCGTCTCGGCCTCCAGTTCCATTTGCATGTAGTGGTCGGTCAGCTCATCGCGCTCGGCGAGATCGCGCATCACGTTGAATAACCAGTCGCGCATGCGACGTGGGAAGTCCTTCAGGTCCTCGCCATCGCACACACGCGGCTCTTGGCAGGCGCCATAGTAGTCGATGTGGAGATGTGCATTGTCCGGATGACGGCAGCCGGGATCCTTGTTGTCGCACCAGCAGCGCTGCTGATAGACAGCGCAATCGGATGGCCAGGTCTCGTTCTTGTTGGTGCACACAAGACGGCGCGTGTCCAATTCGTCTGGGCACTCGGGAATGCAGATGCACTCGGGCTTGCCTTCATTCAGCTGACAGATGCGACCAGCGCCGCAGTGCATAGTCTCGCAGGGATCCACCTCGACCACCGGATTCAATAGATTATACTGTACATCGGCCAATTTCTGGGCCAGCTCATTCTCACGCTCCACATCCTTGTTCTAAGACCAGATAAAAGGTTGAGTATCAAAGCTCTCTTTATTTCTAGTGAAGCTATGCGGTACAGACCTTGGACTTCTCCTCCAGCAGCGTCAGATACTCTTCATCATCTTCATCGAACTCGGCTATGTCCTCCAAGTCCAGATTGGCGATGGGGTCCTCGGCGCGCACCTGCGACAGCGTCAACGCCAGCAGCCCCAAGCAGAGCAGCAGCCAAACAGAACGCATCTTCCCACGAGTCTAGCCCGAAACAAAATCAATTCAAGCATATTAATTATGGGTATATGCAATATACATACATATATATACAAATTTATTATTATATTCGTATATTCTTCTATCTTATCTGCTGTGCGATGGGTCATAAAGCTCAGCGATTATGTTGAGCCTTTATTGTCAAACGCAGCTAAAATCCATTTTGGAATTTAGCGCCAATAAGAAAATTTTTGAAATTTCTGTGACTGTACTCCTGCTGCTGCTGCTGTTGTAACGGTACGCGCTGTAACGGTAAGCAACCCCCTTTTTGCATTGGCGTGGCTTCGAAGACATTTTATAACATGTATAGTAGTATATGTGCATGCACATATATACATATGTGTGTGTGTGTGTGTGAAAAGGTCAAACAGAAGGAAGTGGCGGAATTTGATGGAAACAAAAGACTTTCATTGTTAGAAACTGCTAAGAATTACAAAGCAGAAAAAAGCTATAAATTATATGCTCTGCAATATAAGTACTTCCAGCTCAAATTCATATTGTATTTCTTCTTTTCATGCTACGAACCTTTCTCTAAGGAACTCGCTCAATTAGCTGTGGGAAAAACGAGGATGTGGCTTCAAAAACACAGAATAATATGCAATTGTAGAGCAAAGGCTGTTAAAAAATCAAAGTTTAATAGGAACTTTTGGTAGATGTATATCTTCTATCCTTCGACAACAAAAATATCTTTATTATTTTTGTATTACCTAAGGTAGAATTTGCTTTAAAAAGTCAATCAAAAGTACTTTGGAAAAAAGTTCCATTAGAGACTATATAAATAAGACGGATGCCTATATTTATATATTTTTAATAATAAAAATATTTTGAAAATCTTATAAATAAAATCGGTTTCAAGATTGTAAAGAACAGAAAAATATCTATTCTCAAGCAGAATTAAGATAAATCTTGAACTAAACCATGATATACAATGTAAACCAATTGAGCTATGTGGTTTTTGAAGCTCATACTAAATTTATCTCTAATATGAACATCTATTGACTCATAGTCAAGCAACTCTAATGAAACACTCGCAAAATTCGCACAGGAATTGCCGAGATTTTATAGAAAGAAAAAAACAACAATTTCCAGGGCATGTTGAACACATGTGCCACAGTTCTGAGCATTTGAAAATTGTTTGTGAACGGAATTCTGAAATCATTTCTATATACAAAATGACTATCTACAAATCTATATTTCTCTCTTTCTCTGTGTGTAGTATAGTATATGAGTGTATAGTGTATGGGTGTGTGTGCTCCGATTAGACTTGACCTCGATGCTGGGGTAACAAAAAAATTATGGGTCAATAGTTTTGTGCTGAAGCAATATTTTAATCTGTCAACTAAACTTTATATAACAGTAAAATGAAAATTAGTATATACACATACATATATATATATATTATATGTGCGCTCATAACGACAATGACAAATGTGGAGCTTGCTCTGTGGCTTATCTCTGGCCAGAGCTTCCGTTTTGGTACTCGAGATTTGCTTAATCGCCGCCTTTTGAGCAAAGCAAAACGCGCAATGCCTGAATCTTTCAAATGTGCCACACACAATTCCCATATACACAGTCAATTCATAAATATATATATATGCATATCTACACACACACACACACACACTCGAGCATATTTAGATGCATCTGGGCAATGCAACCGTTTTCCAGGAATATTTCAGTTGATGCTGTTTGCTTACATGTATGGGTGCGAGAGTGTGTGTGCGTGTGTATGTGTGTGTTTGTGAAACGATGCAGTTTAATTATAACGAAAACCGACAAAGAATGACGTGATGCATCGCATATATCCGCAGATATTGTGATGTTTGTGTGGAATCCAGCAATCCATGCTCATTGTAATCAGAAGCTACACTGAGCGAAAATCAACTAGGCCAACTAAACAAACACTTACCAGTTAGGGCTTAAATAATTGAACCCTCCAGTTGGCCAATTTCTAATGGGAAGAAAAATCAATGCAAATTTCTTCAAGTGTAGCAATTGAATGGAATTTGCGGAACTGCACTTGGATTACGACACTTCTATGGGGCGCTCTAACCTTGGAATGGTTAAAAAACTAAAAACTTTTGAGCAATTCAATGCAATCAATTGCCAATATTTCGCCAGAGAATTGAGTTCAATTAACTTTTACTGTGAACTTGAATATCAGAATACAATTTCCAGCTGAGGCACGCGAAAAGCCGACATCACTCGAATTTCAAAACTCTCGATCAATCACATATTTCAATATACGTAAACGGTTCACATTATCTTCTGCAACTGTTTTCTTATATTATTTCATATATATACTATATATACTTACAATATTAATTTGTAATTAGAATTCCTGTACGATTTGAAGAATTCGTATGTCCGAATGCGTCGACGGCAAACGACTGACTGTTGATTGGGGCTGATGTTGGGGTACAAGGCGATTATGGATCGTGCATTAAATGTCCGCATATCACTAAGCTGGCCAAACTTGTTGGCTGCCAACATGTTCGGTGCAATAACAACACAGATTTTTCTTACTCAAATATGTTTTAGATTTTATTCAGAGTTCACGAAATATAAATAAGTATACTCTATTCAGTAGCACTCTATATACAGTGCCGTAGATAGCCAATAGAAGTCATAATACAAATCAAATAAAATTATAATAACTTACCTTCAGCGATCTACAAAGATATTGTGTTCGAGCTGTGTTGCCTCTCTAAATCCAGCAGTGCTTTTTTTCGGAAAAGAAATGTTTTGGTGATTCTTTTAGAAATGCTGCATAAAAGTGATAGAATTTTTTGTTTTGTTTTGTTTTTTTTTTTTTTTTTTTTTTTTATATATATAAAATAGAGTTACTTAACTAGATAAATGTAAATAACTAAAGCCGTGTGTCATCTAGAATTGTGCCCAACTAACTTACCTTAAGGCTTGATCAAAGCTCTTGCAAACAGGCTCGGCGTGTATTATACACACATACACTTAACATAGATTTAACTATATTAAAAATTGTTAATTTAATTATTTGCTGTCTAAGCAGTTCGATTTGAGTGTACTTAGTTTGCTTCCGTTGTTAAACGAGACTTACTTAAAGGAATTCAGCTATGTCTCAGCTCAAATGAATATTAAGATATACATAGTGTGGGTTTCAAGAATTTATTTATTTAAAAATAAATATATATATAGATTGATATTTGATTTGCATATTGTTATTGTAATATAATAGTTATAATATGCTAGAGCTAAATTAAGTGGGCAAATTAGGGACTACGCTCTCTTAGTTAATCCATACATAATTTAATGCATATCTCATATATCATAGATTTAAACAAAAAATATATGTATGTATGTATGTATATTGATTTTAGGCCTTTGGCGAGCGCTACAAAAAACTTAGAAATATCAATACATATGAAAATATATATAGTTATAACATCTGCATTTTTGATAAACTAAAACTAAACTTAGAGTTCATGTCGTGGTTGAGTTCTTAACAATAACAAAACATCTATTCAATTTTGTTGGCTCTTCACTTGTTATGCTGTTTTAATGTTAAAATAAAGCACAGTTCAATAATCGTATATTGTATTTATAAATATCTATATACATCTAAATGTGCAAGTTCTGAAAAGTGGGGGGCATAAAGCGCTCTGCCGAAACAGTAAAATGAATTTGAGTGTAAGGAAACCGTTTACAACTTAATACAACTGTGAATAGAGTGTATATCAGACAGTCATATACAAATACGTATATATATATATACATAGTTATATATATCTATATATATATATATATCCGTTTATGTTTATAAAAATTGACAATAAATTTGATATCAACTCGTTTAGAATTATTCATATAATATGTCTATCATAATAATTAACTTTTCTATTATATATTTTAGATTAATCGCAGCCGTGCGTTGCTAAACAGCCTTTCGACTTAATTTGATTTTCATTTACTATTACTGGACGTATCTTGTCATTTGTTATTATCCTCGATGGCCAACAACGGGTTATGCGGGCATTAAGGCGTCTAGTAACTAATATACTATACGAATACGAATATACGAATATATGAGAGCTACGCGAACTAGCTCTATAAGCTCTGGCTAAAGTTTGAATTATGTTTAAATTCGTTTACAAAAATACATGTTTACGATTTGTATGCAAATGCTGAGCGACGCACGGGCGATAAATTTGATTTCCGTTTTATAGACTGAATTACATATTAGGTATCAATTATTATGATATATTAAAGTAGATAGAGAGATTAGATATATATGTAGATAAAGAGAGCACTAAATGATTAACTTCTAAATTGGAGTTTACAATTTGTATTTGCTGAACGCAAATATATTTCTTCTTCTGTTTTTTTTTTTTTTTTTTTTTTTTTTTTTTTTTTTGAAAAATAAAGCATGGCAAGTTAACACTAAATTAAATGAAACGCATTTCTCTACAACTCACAGTTGTATCCAGCATAGATCTTAAACATTATTTTTATCAGATATTTGTCTTATCCATAAGCGACATATATGAATATAAATTGTTCAATAAATAACATGAGAACTTAGTTTTAAGAGTTAAAAACATTAGTTAGTTGTTGTCGTATGCTCAGTTAGATATTTATGTATAAATATAGCAAGATACATATATATATTAAGAGAGAGATAGATAGAGAGAGACAACGCAGTTAATATATATTAATTTATATATAGATATCCTGTTTTAAGTTACTAAGCGAGTTCGTGTCCTAGCTTACAACAAGCCTATTTAATTGTATCTGTATTTGTATCTTGTATTCTGAGCTTTTGTGTTACACTTAAGGCACACACAAATAGGTATCTATATTAAAGAGAATTATAAAAATTAGTAATTTGACATAACTTATCAGAGTGGGGCACAATTGGAGTCAGTATTTGGTACCTTAAACTTTGCTTTTATCACCGCATACTAGGCATAAACGTACCATAACAATGACAACGCAATGGTGGACAGATTCATGATTGTCATGCGCTTTACTCACCCGAACTAACGACGATATTTGCTGTTCGCACTCCCAGCGGTCGCTACCGTTCCATTAGAAACACTTTTAGGCACGGGACCCGAAACTGGACCATTGCCACAGGGCGGCGGTGCTGCTGCATTATACGGTGCATAGCCAGGTGCAGTTGGCTGCTGATTATCTGCAAGCCAACAAGACTTGATAATTAGGCACAGGATTTGAAGGAAATGCCATTACTTACGATAGCTGCTGGGTGGTGCAGCAGCATAAGGATTCATGCGGTTGCCATTCATGTTGTGTTTGGTTGGACCGCCGCCATAATTTTGTTGATAGCCACTACCGAAGTTGGGAGGCGGCTGCTGCTGCTGCTGTGGTGGCGGTGGCTGATGCGGTGGTGGGCCCTGAGGCACTGGCATAGAACCAGGTACGGGTGGAGCCCCAGATGGCGGCATATTCCAGTTACCGACCGGTGGTGGCGGTGGACCATTGCGATGATGGTTCACGGGTGGTACGCCAGGTGTAGGCGGCTGCATGTTCGGCGGACCGCCCCATTGATTACCATGCCATTGTGGAGCACCGGGTGGTGGTGGCGGCGGTGCATTCCAGCCGTTCTGAGCAGGCGGATAAGCGTTCCAGCCATTCATTTGTGGCGGCGGCGGCTGCTGATAATAAGGTTGCATGGGCGGCGGTGGCCCCCAATAATTGTAGTTTGGTGGCGGGGCAGTCATTGGTGGTGGAGGTGGTTGATGTTGATACGGCGGCATTTGCTGAGGCGGAGGTACTTGGGGACGGTAACCAGTTGGGGGCATGTTGGCTTTGGGTGGAGGCTGCTGTTGCGGCGGCATCTTGTTGCCATTGGCTGCAGTGCTCTGAACATTTCTGTCTTTCTTTTCCAAATTGTAAATAGACTTTTTTACGTCCACCAACACATATTTAATCGAGTGCTGCCTCTGAACTGTGACGATAGAAAAAGTGTCATAAAGGGCATATATTAATTTACTTCACTACACTTACGTATGGCCTTGTCTACGGCATCATAGTCATCAAATTCGATAAAGGCAAAGCCGCGACGCTTGCCGGTGGTTTTGTCTGTCAGCAATTTCACGGAGACCACATTGCCGAACTGTAGGAAATACTCGCGCAAGCAATCCTCGTCGTGGTTATCCTTCAATCCGCCAACAAAAAGCTTCTTCACTGAAATATTTGTCTCGCGTGTTTCGCGCTCTGGACGGGGCAAAGCTCGTTTTGCTTCCACGGTTCTAGAACAAGATTCAGAGATAATAGTAGATAACAAATAATGAGATTAAGTCCATGCAATAAGACAGATTTCATTGACACATACTTGCCGTCTATGATATGCGGACGATTCTCTTGCGCCGTATCTACCATGGCGGACTTTGTATAGGTAATAAAGCCAAAGCCACGTGAGCGTTTAGTTGCGGCATCTCTCATAACAACAACATCCACCACCTTGCCCCATTGCGAGTAGAAGACTTTAAGGCTCTCTTCTGTGGTGTAGGGCGCTAGGCCGCCAATGAACAGCTTGCGCAAGTGCTCCAATTCACAAATGTCCTGCGGGACACGTTGACAATATATTTATATGAATGACTGTGCTTTTTGGTTTACGGGCAAATTTTTTATGTACCACAGTGTGCGTTTCCATGGAGTGAGTGGGTGTTAATGGCGCACTTGTATTGATACTTACATCCTCATCCCTGATTTCAAATATTTCGGGTGTAGTTTCCTCTGAGGATTCCTCTAACTTAATTGCTTGCGGGTTGTTTGCCATGTTTGGCTCAACTTTATTTCAAGTTTACAAAAAAAATTCGGCACCGCTGCTCTTTAGACACGCACGCCAAGAAAAAGTTAAGGATGTGCAATATGTATCGTTTAACATAAATATCGATAGATGCGTGATACCGATATCATGTTTTGACTTCATAATTTATCCAGCCCTAGTTTGTTTGTTTGTTGGTTTTGATTACGTTCGTTTAGTAAAATTTGTAATATTCTCAAAAAATATTTTCCTTTGAATTAAAAGGCAATTTGCAGATACCACAAATGCAGTAAACTGAGGTAAGCGGCTTAAAATGTGTGCACTGCACGTCAAAGTTCGAAATATAAACTGTTGCCATAGATATTCATAACCAACCAGTTAGTGATGCGTGCTTTGACTTTTTTAAAGCTAAAAATTTAAAACACGTCAAAGCCGCCCAATCCTAAATCAAAGTAACAAGTTTTTGCATTAGTATTTAGAGCTAGGTTTTGGCAACGTAAAATTGGCCAAAAACTACTTCTAGTTAAGCTTAGTTTATTTTCTGTTTTTTATCAGTTAATAAATTAAAATGTGGATACGTTTAAGTATAAAATGAATTAAAGCTGGTTTATTATTAACACGAATTGATAAGCCTTGGCGGAGGCACTAAATGGCTGCGACGATGCTGCTGCTGCTGCGGCTGTTGTATTTGTCGCTGTTGTTGTTGCTGTTGCTGTTGGTCAGGAGGCACATGGGTTTGGTCTGGTTCTTGTTGGTGGTGGTCCGCGATGTCAACATAATTACCATTCGCACTGTGCCCGTTATTTATGAGCCTATCCTTGGGCAGCGACGTAGGCAGCAGGGCGGGCATTGCCGCCGGTGCGGCATAGTAGCCGCTGCCTAACATGGCCGCCGCTGCTACCGCTGTACTGTTAGCCGGCGCCGCTGCCGCCGTCGCGTAACTCGTTTGTCCCATGATGGTGCTCATAAAACCATTGGCCACGACAAAGTTCCTGCAAATTGATTGTATCTGGTATTACATAAAAATGAGCGCAATTGAACCCAAACCCCAAACCCATAGCCAAAGCCAAAGACCCCGGTTAGACCCAGGCATTGTCTAATTGGCCCGTAAATGTCGTTAAATTAATTTCGTGTTAATTTTATGTGAGTACATCAATTAAACTTGTGACATTTCTTTGAATTACTTCCGTTGCAAAATGTTCAGCCTCACCCCTTCAACCCCGCACCCGCGCATCACCCATCACCTTATTCGAATCGCCTTACCTGTAGTGTTGATCAATTTGCGCCTTCTCAATGCGCTTATCCTTGGCGCGTCGATTTTGAAACCATATCTTGATTTGAGTTTCAGTCAAGCACAACGTCTCCGCCAGCTCAAAGCGTCGACTCCTCGATATGTACTCGTTCCGATGGAACTCCACCTCCAGCCGCAACGTTTGCTCCGTGCTAAATGTGGTGCGCTGTCGCCTCTGTCGCCCTTCCTTACGCCGACGTCGAGCCACTGCCAAACGAAGAGCAGATAATCAAATCGTTAAAGACTACAACATAATCCACAACAATGATCTATGTAAGTGAGCCACACGCACATGCTGACTGTGGAAAGCGTTAGGCCGAAATTAATCTTACATTAATAAACCATCAAATTGCCCTCAATCTCGAGCACTGTGTGTATCCGCTAAATATCCTTGCGTGCGCACAAGTTAAACAAATAATTAACCATGCGGCTGGGCCCTTTCTATTGCAGCCTAACGGAAATTTTGATCGCGTTTGTAGCGCACATTAAAATGCATTTTACACGTGTTCCTAGACTGCCCATCAGTGGCATTCCCCTTGACACCGTCCCTGCCTCTGCCGTCTCTTAATAGCATCATAGCATTTTATACATTTTCGTCAATCTGAGCCGGGAAATTTTCAACAATGCCAACAGCTGTCTCTCATCCTCCCTTTGTTAAATTTGTACACATTATAATGCCCTCATCTGCAGGATATTCACAGTGCAGCGAGCTGTTGGTAACGTCTCTATAGAATTAAGAGCTGATATTTCAGAAAACTAACTTGTTCGAAATTTAATCAATGTATATAATATACAAAATTAACTAAATATATATGAATAAAAACTTTAAAAAATTTAGAAAAGAATAGAAAAACATAATTCGCATCAATCAGTTATTAAATATATATGTACGTGCACCTGTAAACGTATATAAATTTATATTATACAATTTCTGTCGTTAGAGTATTTGCTTTTCGATATCACTTGGAGTTTGCTTATTATTTGTTTGTTTTAGCTGTAACGGTAACGCGCCTACAAAGCGCAATTCTCCGCACACTTTCATAATGCGTACTCTATTTCCCTTGTATGTCCGAGTACATGTCGACTAATTGTTGTTTTTCTCTCATTGCGCTCCATCTCTTTCGCGCCCTTATGCTCCTGCCAAGCTGTGTAAAGTTTTCATTTGTGTGTAATCCCTAGTTTTCGCCTGATTACCCTTTGGCTGACTAACTCACAAAAGACTTAAGCTCTGCTTGCGGCTTATATAAGTCTGTATGGAAATATATATGTAGGTATGTATATATATATATATATATATATATATATATATATATATTTTTTTTTTTTTTTTTAAATCACGTGTGAAACTCAATACGACAAGTGTCCTTTGAGCTGGCGCAAGTGTCTGTCAATGGTTTGTTTGTTGCGTGTGTTTTTTAGGTTTCCTGTTAAGCTCAATTACAATGTTAATTTTTTAGCCATACTTTCTTTTTTTTAGCTAACTCTCCGAAAGATATGCTTAATGGGGGTGCTAAACAAGTGTCTATAATCCTGATGTGCCTTGTAATATCATCTCCCCTTATCAATCTTGCTTGCTTTCTTAATTTCGATATTTTTTTTTTTTTACCCATTGAAACATAGTCAATCGGGTATAACAGCCGAGGAGAACTGACTGTGGCTGTATATCGGACCAGGACGACTTATGAAATCTAACTAGCTTTATTTGGCTGTTGTATAACTTTCTGGAAATCGCTGAAAAACAAAAATCTAACCATTTTGTTATATATATAAATACATATATGTATGTATATCAAAATTTCACTCAGTGAATATTTCACTATCGTTAAAGTTAATAACTTGGAAATGATGGGATCTTCATATATATATCTATGTAACTATAAACATATCATATGTATATAAAGATTAAAGGATATGTTCAAGTCGTTCATCGCCACATAGACCACTCACACTTGCTTTTATCCTTTCTCTCTTTTTCTCTTATTTGCTACGACCTATAAGCGAGATTACCGCAAGTAAATGGGAATTTTTACGGCTGAATAAGTTTTAATATTTTGTTAATTTGCAATTTTTGGATTTTTTTTTGGCTCATTGTTCATCTTAACATTTCCCCTTTGCTCACTCCTTTGGCTTTCTTTCGGCAGTTGCTTGCTTGCCTTACAGTTTCCTTTGGTTTTTTGCTTTAAGGGTTTGCGGCAAGTGCAAGGATATTTAATAGCCTGGCTATTGATATTTATGCACAACTTTTTTCGCAGTTCCTGCGGAACTGATTTTTTCATTCATCTCATTTTGTTTTGACGAATCAACTTTTACACCTGCATGTGAAAACATGTGAACAATTTGGAAACTATTTTGCTTCATTTAGTTTTCTCGATTTGAAGCAATGCGATCCAAGAAGAAGATTAATGGGAATAGACAATGGTTTCTCATACATCTCATCATCTGAACTCACTCTCGTTATCTCGCTCTAACTTACATTATTCTCAACGTAGGTAATATTAGTTTGGAAACAGATTCATTATGCAATTCACACACACACTCATATTCATACATTAAAAGGTAAAGAAAGTGGGGATTTAATTGATAATAATTAAAATTTTCGTATTGTACACTCTATATTCCAGATCAGTTCCAATGCCTGTTCCTCTGTGCCTGCTTGGCCGTGCCAGAACCCAAATAGCGGCAGCCTTTCAGGTCAGATTTCTAGCGAACAAAGATGCCTCCAACATTGAGGTTAGTCCTGTCTACTAATCTACTACTAATATATACATCTAATAATTTGATCACGCAGCTACCACCTGAACCGACTACGTGCTGCATGTCAGGATGCGCCAATTGCGTTTGGGTGGAATACGCACAGACTGTGGCCAAGATTCTCGGCGACAACGATGAGCGTGCACGTGAAATAGTTTTAGCCAAGATCAAAGATCCCAATTTACGCATGTTTTTGGAAATTGAGCTGCGTAACTTGAAACAAGTTCGAGAGAGCAGGCCAGAGGAACCAAAAAAATGAAGGCAACTAGTCCAAGGAATAGTATAAAATTGTTTAAGTAGCATAAATTAGTTTGTTGTAATAAAATTTTGAGAATTGAAGATGTGTTTATTTTAAGCATCGATGTGAAGAAGTTGTTGGGGTAAATAATATCGATTTTAGAATCAATTTATGCCATATATAATACAGTAGAATCCGGTTATAACTTCACTAATAGCGTCTGTACGCTTATAGCGACGAAAATTCTGGTCCCCAGACAAACTTTTATGAGCAAACTTATAAGATTATAGCACCTTCCGGGTATAACGACGGTCCCTTGAGTGTCTGTATATGATAGGCTAAATAGGTTGATTCTTCCTTTAAAATAGTCGAAGATATACGATTATTTCCGTTTGGACAAGATCCTGTACGTTAGCTTTTCAGGATACTCGCCATAAAGTTTTTATTAAGTCTTTAGAGCCTAGAAGAAAAGGCAGGACAATCGAACCCATATACTTTATTTACTAAAGCTTATTTACTAGAGCTCTAAAAAAGGAACCTCGAACGTAAATTTTCCTGGCACAGACTACGAACACTAATATCTAAAAGTCGACCAAAAATTCAAATTTGCAACATTTTGTGTTGTTGTTTTGCAGAAATCGAGCTGACTGAATCTTAGATTTTTAGTATATATTTGATTGGTATTTAGTGAAATCAGTTTAGCTTAGATTAGAATGCTGGCATGGATTTTGGAATTTGTAAATAGGAAGATATAGCCATAATTACAAGAATTTTTTTTAGAATCTTAAAGTTTTAAGTTTTGTTTTGCAAATCAAGACACAATATGGCTTTTCATAGATATAGAAGTGATATATTAGACGAATGAAGACGCTGACAAGAGTAAGTATTTGAAATTTATAGCAACCGTAGTATTTGTAGACTTACGAATCAGATCGTTGCATGAATGCATGGGTTGGATTAGACCTTATTTAGGCCTTTGAATTTGTTTAAATTTTGACCAGCTTGCCACTCACTCCATAAACTATATATGCTATACTTACGAAATGCTGAAAATCCAGCGTTGATTTGAGCATCAGCCGAAAAAGCCGGGTAGGACAGAAGGGTCGGTGAAGTTGCATTGGGAATGGTTCTATAGGGATTATATTCCGGCGGAGCAGGAGCGATTAATTCGTAAGACGGGAAACTGATTAGTGAGGCGCGTTCGTCACTTATTGAGATATCCGGAGAGGATGCACTGCCGCCGTCGCTCTGATAGGGCGTCTCATGGTGAGTGCCCACATCGATGTCATCGCTGTCACTATTGTGTGTTCGCGTCTCTAGATGACCGTAAAGACGTTCGAAGAATTGACGCGGTGAAGACGGACGTGGTGGCACGGGTAGCGCTGTCAGCGGACCGGGTGTCGGTGTGGAATTCGAGGACTTAATTACGTTCTCCACATCGAGTGGCGTTGATTGGGTTTGCTGCTGCATTTTGTGTGGCCGATTTGCAACGCTGTTTAGGAGCAGAGGCTATAAACTTATCACTCGAATAATCGACGTGCGACTGAAACTGAAACTTGGTGTTACTTCCGACTTTGTGCCTGACCGGTAGCAGGCGCCTTGGTCAAGCGTTAGCGCTTATCCTGCGCGCGTCACAAATTATGCGTCGCATCAACAATCAACAAGAAGGTGCTTAAAATTATCGTTAATAAAAAATATTACTGGCGCCACACCTGAGGTGGCATAGCGCTGATTGGTTGAAACTACTTTGCTACCCTTAGGTCACTTCCGCCTCAATTCTTTGAGAGGGTAGCTAAAAGGATAAGCGCCGCCCATATCTACAGCCATAGCAAATTGCTTCTTGTCTACTAAATGGACTACGATTGATAGCTACTTGCTACGAAACTCAGCAACTTCAGGGACATGATTTTAGTACTTTATTTAAATCAAAATATGTGAGCACAAACAATCATATTGATTTATGTATATATATAAAAGAGTAAAATAAAAAGATACCTATCATTCTCGCCAATTATACGCAAGAAATTTCATTTAAATACCACTTGGACTATCAACATATCGTGCCCAAAAATTACTCAAAATACGCAAACTATCGATACAATATTCTAACATCGGCATTTCTGACATCGCTACATTACTTTTTGGCAGCTCAATAAAAGAATATTTTAATTTCAACAATTTAGCGATTTAAATATGTCTTATCAATTATATCGTAATACCACGCTTGGTAATACACTACAGGAGAGTTTGGACGAATTGATTCAGGTGAGTACCACAAGCACAACAAAAATAAACTGCACCAGCTCGGTGCAGTAGCAGCTGCGTCGCAGACACGGCCGCATTCTTGTAAAATGCTGATTTACTTATATATTTACATTCTGGAAATGAATGTATGTAAAATGTATATATTGCGTAGTAGTTTCATTTGGATGAATGAAATGGAAAGCTTATATGGAAATCAGTTATAGTCATATTTCCTCATATTTGCAGTACGGACAGATAACGCCTGCTTTGGCCTTCAAGGTTTTGCTGCAATTTGACAAGAGCATCAACATTGCTCTTAACCAGAGAGTCAAAGCGCGAGTTACTTTCAAAGCGGGCAAACTAAATACTTATCGATTCTGTGACAACGTGTGGACCCTAATGCTCAACGACGTGGAATTTCGGGAGGTGCACGAGTTTGTTAAAGTTGACAAGGTCAAGATTGTGGCCTGTGATGGCAAAAGCGGCGATTTCAATTAATAATTAAGTAAAGCAAGAAAAGATACAAATTTCAACGCATTCTACTTAATAAGTTTCTAATTAATAAGTCAGTTGGCTAATATTCGCTGCAACTGCAGCAATTCGGGGGAAGTAAACTGTCAACACACATATATAAATGTGAGATGGATTGTTTAAATATCTCTAAGAATATGTACAATTAACTGATCTGGCCTATGTCAGACCTCTTAAGATGCCTTAATCACATGTGTGAACATTTTACACCTCTATTCTTGTTATTGTATTTATGCCTAAAAAACAAAAAGAAAACAGTTAAATATGATAACTATATAAATTGAAAATGACTGTTTAACTGGCAGTTTTTCTCATGCATTTATTAATTCCAACAACAGCGTCCGTTTTATATGTAGTAAAATAAATTGCAATACAAACTTTGAAGTAAAGTTTTTACGTTTCAAATTTAGCAATTGTGCCAATATTATTTGATCGATACCCTTTCGATAAATGAGGAGTTAACATAATGACTAGTTGGAGTTTTTTTTTTGAGTATGTTTAACAACAGTGAAAATCGATAGCACCTGTTTATGTAAATGTTTATATCAAATTAAACTTGTGTACATATTTAATATAGAAAAACGAAATAAATTGTATTCAATGCATAATTTTATGTTTTAAAAATTTCTCATTCCATCTTAAAAATTGTTAATATAAATATCGATATTCTGAGTTACGCCCGGACATTGACTGGTATATCGATATATTGCTATAAAACCAACATCTCTCGATTCTCTGTACAAACGGTAACAACAGCGCGTCGTGTTCACACGGGGACCGCTTGATAACAAATTTTTAGATATTTTGAAACGGTTAAAGTTATTGCTATTTCAATTCCGAGCTATTATTATTCATTTTGAATTTATTCACGGCAAACCAAATAAGAGCTAACCGCGAATGCATATCATAAGTAAACTCGGGAAATGCAGAAAAAATTTTACTGCGACAAGTGAATTAAAGTGTAAAAATCTATGAAAATACGTTGTTAGTTTGCAAATAAAGTTTGCTAACAAAATTGTTTTTTAAAAAGGTAAAACATAGTTAGTGTCCTTAAAATCAAATCAGTTGCCACTTAGCTTGAAGGAGAGCGTAAATTCATATGCATAAGTTTGTGTATTTGTGTGTATGTGTATGAATGCATGGATGTAGGTGTTGTATATGGAATTATTCGCTGTTGTTGTTGCCTTTGCTGTTGGGCTGACTGAACGCAAAGAAAACGAAAAAGTAAACGCGTAAAATAGAAAAAGTGCACTCATCTCCAAAAACAGCGCGTGTTTATTTTGTGTTTGATTTTAGCCGAAGCAACCAAGTTGCAATAACAGTGAATCAATAAATGTTGCTCTTGCTATTGTTTGTGGCTTTTGCTGCAAAGCCCTTGAAGTGTTGCAGAAAATAAATTACAAACATACAGAGCGTGTGCCAAAAACAGAAGACGGAAAACAAAACGCAAACGAAGTTGTTTTTGTTGTTGCTGTTGCTATTGCCTTTTGCTATTTGCAGCTAACTGAGACTAAATGATTAAGCCATAAACATATAACGCGTAAAAACAAGCAATATAATAATTTGTATATATACATCTACATACATGTACATATGTATTTGTACTGCGCAGCACTGAAATAAAATTCTCAATTTTTTGTTTTTGTTTACAATGCGCTTTATGGCATTCGTTTGTTTTTGTTTGCGCTTTGCTTTTGCGTTACTGTTACCGTCTCTAATGAGTCCAATTGGACTACCCTAGTGAGAATTAAAAGTAAAAATAAAAATACAAATTAATTCGAAATTATTAATAGTAATAGAGAGTTCCAATTATGAAATGCTAGTAATTCCAATAAATTTAATTGAAATCTAAAAAGGTTAATCCAGATACACCGCCAAAATTGATTTCCGTCGCATCAAAATCTTTACCTCAAAACTGGATTATAATAAATCCGTTGATATTGGAACGCAGCAGGAAAACAACTCTGGGGTAACCAACAAAATGGTCAAACGGTAGGTACACATACGCCCAACAGTATATCTAGTATTTGTATGATTGTTTTATGACGACTTTGTATATATTTACGATCTGAATAATAAATTCTTATCAACATCGGGTTCATTAGCTCATTTTGTAATTGGTAATTGGCGAAGAAATGAGAGTTCGACTGTGTGCAAATCCGTCGTAGAATTTTTTTGAGATTATTTTTAGAATGGAATTGGATTCAATGACCGGAGTCTATTGAACTTGATAATGATGAATTATAACGCAATTTATTGTTGTTAATTGTTTATATCAGAAAGGGGGAAGATGGAGACGGTTTGACATGTGGGGTGGCTTTTTACTGCGTCGCTGCTTGCATTTGAATGTTGTTTTCGTTTTCTTTTTCCTTTTATGTGAGCATATTTAGTGCTCCAACAACAACCCCCAAAACTGAAAAAAAAAAAAAATTAAAAAAAAAACACCCCCTCGACTGCAGCCACCACCAGCATAGAACATCCAACATCCAACAGTGTTGACAAGCGACGTCGCATAAATTCGTTGTGTGCGTTTGCCCAAAATCAAAATGTAAAAGCACAACAGCAACAACAGGAGCACGTAGCAGCAGCAATAACACCGATGAAAAGCCCAACGCGGCATTTTCCCAACGCATGCGCTCTGACATAATGGCAAAAGCAACAACAAGTACAACCACAGCCGCTTCTTTTCTGTTTTGTCGGCAGTTCGAGTTTCTACATGATTTTTTGTTTCATCTGTTGGGCATTCCAAAATAGCAGAACACACTGACAACGCTCTGTCTCCACCTCTGCGTGCATAAATAACTGCATACGCTGCGCTCTCATTCTCGCTCTTACTCTAGCTTGTTCACGTTCACGTTCTATCTACATACATACATATGTATATGAATTTTGTTTTTGTCTCTTGCTTTTGCTTTTGCTTTGTCTCCTACAGCCTCATGCTGTTATTTTCGACGGCGACGTTGGCGGTGCTTTTCCTGTGCCTCTGACAATATTTAACATTACTTTGTGGTGTTGTTGTTGCTGTGGTCCTCGAGTCTTAGCAGGTTCTCTCAGTTGCATATTTTACAGTTGCTTTTTCGGTTGTCGCGCCCCCACACATACACATGCATAAACAGGCACACAAACGGAGAGCATCAACAGCAGGGTTTTTCTTTTTCGTGTATTTGTCATTTTCTTCTTTTTACCTGTTGTGGTTCACCTTTTGTTTTGACTAGATTCTGCCTCATGCCCCGCTGGTCATTTATCGATATTTATCAGAATCAGTTCTATCGTTGAAGCTGTCTCGCTTCTACGTTGACTTCCTGTTGCTGTTGCATGTGTTTACCTGATGCCGACCTGTTCGCCTGGTTGTTGTTATTGCTGCTGTGCTTGTTCTTGCTTGCCGATCGCCGCTCTTTGCTTACAAATCTTTAGCCTTGCAGGCTTACATGCACATACACATGCATATGCATGCAACTGTGTGTGTATGCATGTGCTGTTGGTGTTTCTGCGGATCTCGCTGCCTGCCTGCGCTGTTTTGTATATTGTGTTTATTAAATTTTCTTTTCTTTATACATACATAAATATGTATGTATATATGTGTGCTTATGTGTGTGTGTGGCATGCATGCAGTTGCCCATACGGCAGGCAACGTTGCCCTGCTTGAAAATTTATTTGTCTGCACGCCATTATCCATTATGTATGTACATACATACACATACATACAAACATGCATGCACTTCTGTATGTATGCATTCATGTTTGTTTGTATATGTGCATACATACATATATTGTACGTCTGTCAGTGTTGGGGAGTGTCTGCGTAGTCAATGGATAGGCTTGCATGCCCCCTCTCCCTCTCTCTATCTCTCTCTCTCGCTGTATGCCTCCCTCTGCTCGCGCTGTTTGTTCTTTTTTATTTCATTTTGGCGATTAAAATTAAATTTTAATTCCGTTGTTGTTGTCTGACTGCTGTAGCTGTTGCTGTTGCTCTGTCTGCTCCTCTCTTTTATTGAGCATTGCTCTGTTTCACGACTTCCTTGTTGCCTGGCAGTTAATCTATGTATATATGCACATGTACATATGTATTTATGTGTATGTGTATTACTGTCCCCCTCGCGCGAATGTCCACCTTAAGAGTTCAGCTTGCTGTGTGCCTGTTGCGCTTGGTAACATTCTCGTCATTTGTTAAGTGCAAATTTATTTATGAAATAACCCTAACACGCACTTATTACGCTCACACACAAACACACACACACACACATGCACATACTAATTAACTGCCTTTATTCATGTTCATGATTCATGTCACTGTTTGAGCGCCGAAGTGTGGCTTTTGTCAAAGCGTGGGAGAGACTACAAAATACACACACACACACATGTGCATGTTTGTATACACATACATACAAACTTGTCCGTGTGTTTAACAAGATTTTCACACTATTTTGTTTTGTGGTGTATTTAGGTATATTAGTATTTCCCCAACACACATGCTATAAAGAAATATACATACACACATATATTTATAAAATATCTGTGTGTACGGTATAGAGTTGAGCGAACTCGTGGAAAACATGACAAAGAGACATAGAACACTTGTTCAAAAATTGGTATAAATTCTTCAAAAACCTTTAATAAGTTTTGACGAGCGAGTTTTTTTCGTTTCTGATGCTAAATTCATTTATATTTTTTATCATTTGTTTATAAGTTAACATATTTTATTATTATTATTTTTCCTTCACTTTTGTACACAGGCTTAAATAATCACCTTGAACTGACTTTCTTTATCTAATAATAAATATGTTTCTGTGCATAAATATATGAAAAATTATCTCGTTGTAAGCACACACAAACACACTGAGAGATTGTAAAGCCGCAGGAGACATTCAACTTATTTTAATCTACGCGTAGCTGTTGTGAAGATCAAAGAAAACTCTATATCGAAAAAATTTGTATTCATCCTAAAATTTTTGCTAACTCCATTGAAATGTGTAGCCCTAATTATTTAATAATATGTGTGCATATATAGATTTATATATGTGAACGGGATATCTTGTAGTCTGTCAGAGTTGTGGCTTTAGTTAAATATTTCGTTCTAGACCGCAAATTGATAGACAGGCAGCGGTAGCAAATTTAATGCGTGGCAGACAAAATGGGGTACAAAAAACTGATAAGAGAACAGCAGCATCAGCAAATAAAGATAGATAGAGATGGAGGGAGAGAGAGAGAGGGAGTACCAAAGAGGTAGTGAAATACAAAAATAAATTTCAAAAAAATGAAAAGCAACAGCTGAACATAATTCAAATACACATGAGCTGATTTAAACGCTGCATGCACGTGGAGCCCAATTACGACTAGTGTGCTCAGTGCGTGTGTGTGTGTGTGAGAGTGTGTCTGATTGTGATAAGAAATGTAAGCTGGAAACGTGAACAGGAGAAGGAGGCGGCTTTTAATTTCAGCAGCTGCAAATGCCAGCTGACGCATTTGACGAAAGTAAAGAAAATCTGAAATAAATTAATCAACCTTCGCTGTTTGCTTGGCCAGCACTCAAAAAGCAGTTAAGCGTTGGTTGGCTAAGCGCCTGCTATGCCTCGCCCGCTAGCCCGCTAGCCCGCTAGCCCGCTGTCAAAGTTCATTGTCAGGGCAGCTGGAATATTGGATACTGACCGAGCTACGGTTCAAAGTTCATGTAGTGCATCTTTTATCAGCGCACATCTCAGTCAGAGATTGTTGTTGCTGTTGTTGCTGTTGGGCGCCAATTGGCTTTGCGTGCATTGCCATTTGAACCCAAAGTTTGAGATAAGCCAAAAGATTTTTCACAGCAGCTGCGGGCGAGCTTTTTGACCCAAATAGGGCAGGAGCTGATTTTGGTGCCTTTGAGCCGCTTGCCAAGTGAAAGTTTGTTGGTCAAATTGTTGTTGTTGTTGGTGTTAATGTTGTTGTTGCTGTTGTTAAGCCACTTATAACAATTTACGACAAATTTGCATCAGGTCGGTAATTTGTTCGTAAATGTATGTGAGTGTGTGTGTGTGAAAAATGAAAGTGAAAATAGAAATGAAAATGATTTTAATAGGCGATTGGATAGTTCAATTCAAAGTTTTGCTGTAGCCAGATTAACCCAAATTAGAGAGCATGAAATGTGATTGTGTATGTGTATGTGTGTGTAAGCGCATGTGTAATGGGGGTGGATAAATGAAACTAGTATGAACACGATACAACTAATATAAATTTGAGCACTAAGAAAACTAAACTCAATTGTTAGTGTAGAATTTTATTAAGTATAGAATTTAATCAGCAAAGAAAGCAAGTAAACAATTATCGTAACAATAAAACGACTATTGCTCAATAGAAATATATTTACGTCTGGCACTGGACTGCTAGCCATAAACTGGAAAAGCTCAGCAACTTGAATTCTATTCTAAATGTTGGATGGATTTGATATACATACATATATGAGACTTGAATTGCAAATCAATCAATAACTTTATTCCTTTTCATGAAATCGATTAATAGCGATCCCAAATTTTAGTTATTTGAGCATATAGCGAAGAGCAAAATGGGAAGGTTTCAGGATGGGAAACTAGTTACTTATTATAACTTAACTTATTCAATACTTTAGAAAGGAAACGCAGTGAATCCTGGCTATATTCGAGTCGAATACTCAACACTTAGACAGTATTTATTTTTTGCTCAAAATATCTCTACTCTAATCCATTTCTAGACATTTATTCTCTTATAACTTCACTAGTATTTAAATATATCTTACACAAGTAATACATATATTGCGAGCTCTGAGCACCTGCAGGATATGCGCGTCGCAAAATTGCAGCTGCAATAAAAAAAAAACTTGCACACATCCTGTCTTGCAAAAACAAAAACAACAACAATAAGACGAAGTCGTTGTCATTAATATGGGAAACTTTCCAGGGTACAGACGTCGCGACTTGTCTGCGAGAACAGAGTGTGGTACACACACCGCAGAGCAAGGGGTAAGGGGTAGCGGTAGCGGTAAG